ATGGCGGTATCCGGTGAAGCCCCGACGTCAGCTGCGTCACCTCCGGCGGAAGGCTGGTACCTGGATATTGGGGCTACGGTGCACGCTACACCCGATGCCGGCATGATGACTCAGTCCGAAGAATACGGCGGTCCCGATGTGCTCCGAGTCGGTAACGGTGCATGTTTGGTGATTTCACGAATTGGTCATGTATCAATCCCGTCTATCTCTAAGCCTTTACGTTTATCCAATATTTTACATGTCCCGAGTTTGTCGGTTCCTCTATTGTCTGTGCATAAATTCACTAATGAAAATAAGGTCTTTTTTTAGTTTCATAACGATTGTTTCATTGTGAAGGACTCAACAACCAAAGCAGTGCTACTTAGAGGTCCCACGGCGGGTGGCTTATACAAACTCCCGGTGTCACAGTCCCACTTTGCGTTCGTCAGTTCCCGGGCCACTCCCACGATATGGCACAGCAGGCTGGGTCACCCGCACAGTTTCATCCCAAATAAAGTTTACATAGTTGCCTTGTCACACCAAATAAAACCAAATCTTTGGAGTTATGCACAGCTTGTCATCTCGGCAAGTCTTCGCGGTTAAGTTAGATAGAGTTCCAAATTCTAGCAATAATGTTTTAGATTACTGTATATGGATATCTGGGGACCTGCACCTGTAATCTCAACTACTGGCTGTCGTTATTTCTTACTATTTGTAGACGACTATTCATGGTTCTGCTGGTTTTATCTATTACGGGTAAAATCAGACATATATAAAATATTTGAGTCGTTTCGTGTGTTGGTAGAGTGCCAATTTGCGCGTTCTATCAAGTCTATACAGTCAGATTTAGGGGGTGAATATCGCAAATTACACAACATATTTCAAACACTCGGTATAAATCACCGACAATCTTGTGCCTATACACATGAGCAAAATGGCCGAGTAGAGCGCCGCAATAGGCATATTGTTGAAACTGGCCTAGCCCTACTCGCCGAAGGCAAAGTACCCCTCCAATATTGGGACTATGCCTTTGAAATTGCAACCTATTTAATCAACATTCTACCGTCGTCAGCCATAAACTTTGAAAGTCCCTACTCCCGTCTATACAAAATGTCACCTCCATATACGTTTCTACGAGTGTTTGGGTGTCGGTGCTATCCTAATCTTCGCCCATATAATCGGCACAAGATAGAATATCGCTCCACACCGTGTGTCTTCCTAGGTTACCCTCCATCCTTTAGGGGATACAGATGCATTGATCTGATAAGTGGAAAAACCTACATCTGTCAGCATGTCTGATTTGACGAGTTTGTTTTCCCTTTATCCGCAGGGCCTCCGACACAAGCTCCAACACAGCCGGGGCGGCCAAGGGCAGCTGGGCCCATATACCGCTAATTCCACCTTCGGCTACGACTCCTAGTCCAGGCCCAACCTCACCTAGGCTCGAACCCACACCGCTTGCACAGGTGTCACCTCCTTTGGCTATTGAAGCTCCCGCACCGGTCAGGGCTCGCACTAAGAGTATTCATGCCCAACCGCAGGACCGGGAACATGGCATGCGCCTCCGTCACATGACTCGAGACACGAATGAGCCGTTTCATGCCTTGAGTGCAACTACTGACCCAATGTGCTATTCTCAGGTTGTAGGGCACCGGCAGTGGCGCGAGGCTATGGATCAAGAGTTCAATGCACTCCCGCACAATAACACATGGCGCTTAGTTCCACCGGAACCACACATGAATATTAATGGGTGCAAGTAGGTGTTACGTACCAAACGCACGGCTGATGGCTTAGTAGCACGTTACAAGGCTCGCCTGGTTGCCAAGGGCTTTAATCAGGTAGCAGGAGAAGATTTCGTTGACACCTTTAGTCCGGTTGTCAAACCGACTACGGTCTGGATGCTCTTTTCTATCGCCGTGTCAAATGGTTGGACTCTACGCCAGTTGGATGTTCACAATGCCTTCCTGAATGGTCACTTGGCGGAAATTGTATATATGAAACAACCTCCGGGATATGAAGATCCAACCTACCCTGGTCACGTCTGTCATCTACAATGCTCTCTCTATGGTCTCAAACAGGCCCCCCGTGCTTTGTTTAAGAAGCTCCATGATTTTCTACTGTCTGCAGGGTTCTTGGCCTCAAAGATAGATGTTGCGCTTTTTTATTATGCTTCGGGCAATTCCCAAATTTTTCTACTTGTTTATGTCGACGACATCATTATGATGGGAAATGAGGCAACTCTGGTTAATACTTTGCTACAACGACTAGCTACCACCTTCAAAATTTGAGACCTTGGCACACCAGGTTTCTTCTTGGGTATTGAAACTATTGCAGTGGGTACATGTTTGGTTCTTTCACAGCGGTGCTATATGACTGACTTACTTAGTCGCTCTGGGATGGTGGACTGTAAGCCACTTGCCACACCAGCTGCTGTCACCCAGCCGGTTACTCCTTCAGATCAACCTTTGAGAATCTGACACAATACCGTCGCATTGTGGGCGCCCTTCAATACTTGACTATCACCCGGCCTCATCTATCTTATGCGGTCAATCGTCTTTGTCAGTTCATGCACTCCCCGTCTGTTGACCACTGGGGCCTAGTCAAACGCGTTTTACAATACATCAAAGGTACTCTCAATTATGGGTTACGCCTGTCACCTTCGTCTTCCGCTACCATTCATGCCTTTTCAGACTCTGACTGGGCGGGTTGTCCTATTGACAGAAAGAGCACGTGTGGGTATGCTGTATATTTGGGGTCCAACCTTATTTCTTGGCTGTCTAGGAAGCAACACGCCGTTGCACGTTCATCTACTGAAGCTGAGTACAAAGCTCTAGCCGATGTCTCTGCTGAAGTCACTTGGGTTGTTTCGCTACTACGAGAACTTGGGTTACACTCTGGCCAGCCGTCGACCTTGTGCTGTGACAATCTCGGGGCAACATATCTTTGTGCCAATCCCGTTTTTCACGCACGCACCAAACACGTGAAAATTGACTATCACTTCGTCCGTGACAAGGTGGCCTCCGGGGACTTTATTGTCAACTTTGTGTCTACTAAGGACCAGCTTGCAGATATCTTCACCAAACCGTTGCCGGGTCCAAGGTTTGCGATTCTCCGGGACAAGCTCAATGTTGTGGCGCACCAACCTTGTGCTTGAGGGGGTGTGTTAATACTATTATTGCATCTTGTTATTATTATGTTATATTATATTTTGTATTTCTGTGGTGTTACTTTTAGTTGACTGAGTTAGTCTATTAGTTAGGAGAAGTTAGAGTTGTATTAGCTGATATACTCTTGTATTCTCTTTCTGTTGAAACTGAATGAAAGATCTTCTCTAATCCCCTCTGCTGCATTCTGTTCTGTTCCAGATTTGAAGAAGAAACACGACTCACCTTAAGAACAACCATGGAAGGCCACTACTAAAAAGTAATTAAAAAAAAAAAAAACAATGTTAGTTTTATAAATAAGGGAAGGAGAGTGAGGGAGAAGTTTGCAATATTTATAAAATTGACCTTATGTATTTATTTTTACTAAAATTATCAATCATCGATAAACTCAAATAGGTGGATGAGATGAATTCATATTTTTTTACCAGAGATCCATGTTCTCATTTGATCCTTTGTGTGTGTGAATTGTTTTTTTTCTTTTTCCTCAATTATCATCGACATGGCATATATTTACCCAACCCCTAATAGAACTGTTAAATATTAACGGAGCAATCTAAATTCTAGAATTCTAGAATTTGAAGGACTTCTATGTATTTTAAATTATCATCTCCATTGGATTATCTTTTCAACAATTGAATGTACGTACCTTATTTTAAAAGGGATATTGTGTCAAGATCTTGTGATCTAGTGGCATCAAGTTGCACTCTCGTATGGGAGGTTGTGAGTTTGAGTTTCTGTGGATGCAGTATGGACTCTTTGTGCTTCAATAGGTTAAGAAAGTAGTTATGAACATATACTGAATTGTAACAGAGTTAGTAGTACTAAAAAAAAAAGATATGGTCATTTAAATTACATAAAAGTCCTTCAAATTTTACAAGTTCAAATTTCTCTATCAATATTTAATGGTACGTTTTATTAGGAGTTGGGTAAACTTACTCACTTTGATGTGCTATGGTTGAGAGAAAGAAAAATTATATCATTATAATTCATAGGTCAAATGTGACATTTTATCATACATAAAACCAAGGTTGCAAAAAACGTTAGACACCTCCTAGGCGTCGAGGGGGCGCCTAGGCGCCGATTTTTTATATTTTTTTAAACTAAAAATTAGTAAAATTCACTAATCAAACATAAGGTTCCTCTAGTTTTTTCTTACAAACAATTTATTTAAGTGGTTATAAAGTAGTTTAAAATATTGTTGAAACCATCTAAAAAAAATTAAAATTAAGAGCAAAAGAAGCATTTTTTTGGAGAAATTAGAGGCCAAATCGCCCTTTGGCTGTTTGTGGTGGATAGATCTCAAAAAATACGCGATTTGAAAAAAAATGTCCAAAACGGACAATCGAGTCAAAAGTTATGCATTCCCGAACTTTTAACACTTTACAACGCAAAAAAAAATAATAATAATAAAATAAACGGCCGAACCGGCCGGCCGCCGAGAAGGTCGACTCCAGCCTTCCACGCGGCGGCCGACGGTTGCCTAGGCGCAATTTTTGCAACACTGCATAAAACCTTGTAATTTTGTATGTACAACCTTATAGAATTTATTTCTAAAAATAATCTAGAAATGACTTTACTGCAATCCTCTATATTTACCGCGCACACAAAAACTCATCTCTCTCAAGTGGTATTTTGTAATGAGTCAAGATTTAGATTTTAATAAATAAATAAATGAAAATAATTGCATTCAAAAAAAATGAAAAATTAAACTAACTATAAAAAAATAGTCACATCAGATAGGAAAAAAAAATTGTATAATTTTTGTTAGGATGAAAAGCATTTCCTAGAATCAACTCCTACTCATTAGAAAACTATTGTTCAAAGACCTAATATGTTATATCATATAGGAAACCCCATTAATCTTTTCCAATGTGTCCATAATTATAATGCTATAAACTTCCAAGAAATTGTATGGGAAAATGATGTTAAAGAATTGCATCCAATGTCACTCCCAAGTGGAGGATGAGAGTGAATGACAATTTTCCTCTTTCAAATGCATAAATTTTTTCACTTTTAATTTTTAATTATAAATTTAATTTTAATTTTTTTAATCAATAAATTTTAATTGACGAGTCTTTTGAAAATTCTACCAAATTTCACCATTCTATATGTGCAAATATTTCAAACAAGTATTTATATGAATATTAGAAACATATAGTAAAATTTGAAGGTGATAGATGAAAAATTTGTTTTGTTTATGTATTTAGGGAAAAAAGTTCATAGAGAAAGTTTAGAAGTTAGGGAGAAAGGTTTGTAGAGAAATTAAAGATTGGAAGTTAAGGATAAAAAGTTTGTAGAAAAAATAAAAATAAAAATATACGAGCAATAATGAAGAAAAAAATAATTTGTAGAATTTTTAGAGGAAGATTGTAAATTTTAGGTGAGAGAAAAAATTAGTAGAGTTTAGGTATGCAGAAAATATAGGATAATGAAGAAAAAATAATTTATTGAATTTAAGTATAAGGTTTATAGAGTTTAAATATGCAGAAAAAAATAGAGCGCTTAAATAGAGAGATAAAATATCCAGAATTGGTAAAAAGAAAAATTCTAATTCTTGGGATTAAGGGTCGGATTTCAACTATTTATATTTGAGAATGAAAAGTCTACAAAAATTCTAAAATAAAAAGTCTATAAAAGTTCATACCTCTTTGAATACTGCATGGCTTTTAAAGACTCTTTAAAAGTCTTGATTGAATTTCACCCGACTTTTAAAGACTCTTTAAAAATCCTGATTGAATACCGCATAACTTTTAAACTCTTTAAAAGTTTAAATTTAATACCTCCAAATTTTTAAAAGTCTATAAAAGTTAAAATTGAATACACTCTCTAAATTGAAAATCGTATATATTGTAAAGGAAAATTTTGTTTTCTCATAAATACAAATATAAATATTCCTGGTCTAATTACAAAACAACAAGTATGATGATAACAATAGGTAACAAATAATAAAAGCAACCACTAACAATATTTATTTTTTTATTATTTAAGAATTTGATTAATTTGATTTTGACTTGCCTTCTAAAGGAAATTTCTTTGAAATGTCATGGAGTTAATTACCGATTTGGTCCCTCGACTATGAGGATTTCACCAATTTGGTCATCGACTATCAAAATTTCTCAATTTAGTCCTCAACTATGCTCTTTTTACACGAAATGGTCCTAAGTCTAATTTTTCGGTCAAACTAAAAGGGTAAATTCGGAATTTGAAAAATCTTCTTCTTCTTCCCTAATTCGTTGCTTTTATACGTGGTCAACAGGCGGCCCTTCTCGGAGACCCTGGTTGAGGTGCTTTACAACATCAACGAGCTTCTCCAGAAGACGACGCAGAGGTGCCGCTCACGAAGGTCCGCCTCGTCAAGAAAGTCTCTCTGGTGGTCGTTACCGGCGACCGTGGCCTCTGCGGCGCGTTTAACAGTAATATCGTCAAGAAAGCCGAGGCCAGGATTAAGGAATTGAAGGGACTCAGCGTGGATTACACCGTGATTAGCGTGGGGAAGAAGGGGGATACGTATTTCATTCGCCGACCTCACATTCCCCTCGACAGATTCCTTGACGGCAGCACTCTCCCAACCGCAAAAGACATGCAGGCCCAGGCAATCGCCGATGATGTCTTCTCGCTTTTTGTGAGCGATGAGGTCGACAAGGTTGTGCTTTTGTACACAAAGTTCGTGTCTTTGGTCAAATCCGAGCCCGTGATTCACACCTTAGTCCCCCTAGGGAGAGATCTGCGACATAAACGACAACTGTGTTGACGCAGCAGATGATGAGTTCTTCATGCTGACTATCAAAGAAGGGAAACTGACGGTGGAGAGAGACGTCAGAAGGATTGAAACCCCAGAATTCTCATCAATCTTGGAGTTCGAGCAGGACCCAGTTTAGATTCTGGACGCCCTGTTGCCTCTCTACTTGAACAGTCAGATTATGAGAGCTTTGTAGGAATCGCTAGCCAGAAGCCACATGATGAGTGCAATGAGCAATGCCACGACAACGCTAATTAACGAATTGAAGAAGAACATGTCTATATCTTACAACAGACAACGCCAGGCGAAGACTACCGGAGAAATCTTGGAGATTATTGCCGGAGAACTGTGATTCAGATCAAATCAGAGTAGATAATTTCTTCTAAAGTGGCGGGTGAGGGATGCGGCCATTATTGCTCTCACTAGGTCTGAAGCTCATTTTTGCTCTCAGTGAAGAAGATGATTGGGTTGAACTGAAGATGGAATACAAAAGCCTTAGCCTGAGTTAAGGAAGAAGAAGATGATTTTTTCAAATTCCGAATTTACCCTTGTAGTTTGACTAGAAAATTAGACTAAGGACCATTTCGTATAAAAAGAGTATAGTCGGGGACTAAATTGAGTAATTTTGATAGTCGAGGACCAAATTGGTGAAATCCTCATAGTCGAGGGACCAAATCGGTAATTAACTAAAATGTCATGTGACCAACAATGCCATGGTATGGTATGGACGTATGGTTAGGTTAACTGGAAAACAAGTGAGTTGCCAGGGAAAAGGTCAAAGTGGACATTGCTTAGTGTTGACAAGATCCAAATTAAAGTAGGAATATATCAAAGCTTCCTTTTTAGCTTCAATAAAGTTGGGTCGCCATAAAACATTCTTTCCTTTGTCTTTTGAGTATTTCAACACAAATATTTATACAAAAGAGATATTTACACATTTCTCAATTTTACTCCTTATACATATTAATTTATTAGTGGCACGGGCACCTTGTGCTCAATTGATACCTTTTTAGTTCTTTGTGGTTCTTTTTCACGAAAAATACAGGATCAAACTCCGGTGGTTGAATATTATATTGACTCTTTGATTTACAATAAATAGAGAAAGTATATTGAACAGATATTAGCTTGTAATAGAGTTGATAGTACTCAAGATCTAAATGGGTGCTCACAAGATCGAAAACCAGTGGTGGGCATTGATTCTTTAGACTGAAAAAGTATAGAACAGAAAAAATTTTCCTCCGAGTAAGAGTCAAACTCTACCGGTGTGTCTCTGGCCAAATACGAGTTAGTCTTACTATGGTGAGTATACCAAATGCTATATGCAGAAAAAAAAAAAAAAAAAAAAAAAAAAAAAAAAGAATATGACCAGGGGCTGATTGGGTGACTCGTGATATACCTTACCTCCGCAGCGGCTCTAAGGGGATCGTATGGGCTTAGGATTAGTCATGCAAAACAGGGATCACCTAAGTTTTAAAAAATATACTATAATTA